ATCTCCTGCCTTCACCTTAGACACCATCTCCTGCCTTCCAGCACAGACTCTTCAGCTTCCGGAGTGAACCCATCAACCTCCTGATATGGACCCCCACAGGACACTGCAGTGAGCTCCAGACCTTCGACTAAATCCTTGGGTCTCCAATGTGCAGACAGACCCTCTGGACTCTTCCTCATCCAACCCTGTGGGTGGTCACTGTAAGCCAATCTTGTAAATTCTTGTATATATTTATGTATCTTGTGTTATATCTGTTTCTCTAGCAAGTACTGACTGATACAGTCCTCCAGGTTCACCCATGTTGTAACAAATAACAGAATTTCCTTCTTTTTAAAGGCTGAAAGTATTCCATTGTGTAGTATACATTTTCTTTATCCATTCATCTTTTGATGGACAATTATGTTGATTACATAACTTGGCTAATGTGAATAGTGCAGCAATGAACATGGGACTGCGGGCATCTCTTTGATATGCTGATTTCAAATCCTACAGATTTATGCCCACAAGTAGAATAGCTGGATGATACATTAATTCTAGTTTTATCTTTTTGAAGACTTCCATTCTGCTCTTATTTTTATTATTTACAGAACAAGTATTTATTGAGCACCTATTATGTGCAGATACCTCTGTTCTACAGAGGGATAATCTGACAGAATAGGACCCAACTCAGTAATTGCTGTCCTAGATAAATGTCCAAGAGGAGTGTTTGCAAATTTCCAGCAGAATACACATGCCACAATGTTCACAATGCCCTGTTCATAATAGCTCCAAACTGGAAACTACCCAAATGCCCATCGTGAATAGAATAGATAAATAAATTGAGGTATATTCACATAATGGGACATTACATGGGGATAGGAAAGAATCAACTATGGTTGCTTGAAACATCGTGGATGAAACTCACGCACATGGTAGAAAGTGAAGAGAAAACAAACACCAAGCACAGAAAAGAGTATACTGCATTATTTCATTTGAATGAAGTTCAGGACCACGTGCAATGCTGTGTGCTGCTGGAAGTCAGGGCAGGGCTTATCCTGGGCGGTGCTGAGAGAAGCTCAAGGGGCGTCTGGGAGGTGCAGGAGGTGCAGCATCCCGCTGCTGCGCCCAGTGCTGACTGCACGGTGTGCTCGGGACATGAGCACGGGACAAGCTGAACACTCGTGATCTGTACACTTCTTATATGTCATTGAAAAACTTAAGAAGGGAAAGAAAGGCCAGGGAAGGGGGAAGATAAGCAGGAAGAAAGAGAGAAGCAGGTCAGGCAGACTCTGGGTCCAGCCAGTCTGACTCCTCCAGCCCTAGATAGAGAGGGAGATTTTTACCTCTCAAGCCTCGGTTTCTCCTCTCCAGAATGGGCACCATGACAACCACCTCTCATCCCACACGGTGCCGCACAGAACGCACCAGGAGCACAGGCGCTGCTTGATAAACCCTGTGAGAGCGTGGTCACCCTTGCCACTGTCCTGCGCACACCCCAGGCAGGCCCACGGGGCCTGGCTCTGTGTTCTCGCCACATTCTCCTCTGCTTTATTGTGCTTTGCACTATCTTTTGAGACAGGGTCTTGTGGTGTTGACCAGATAAGATGTTTTGTTGCGCTTTTTATTAGTACATTTGCAGTACATACCGTTTACATTCTCATGTGGAGTTGGCACGTCTACAGAACACATTTTAATTCCCTTTTCATCCCCTTCCCCTCTTTCCCTCCTCCCTCCCATCCCTTGATCCTCTTCCCATTTGAGAAAGATCTACCTCCCTACTTCCTATTATCTATCTTTTATTTTGCTCTTTGTTTTATACTTTAGGTTTCTCATATAAGACAAACTATGCAATGTTGAAGCTTGTGTGTTTGATTTATCGCACTTAAAATTATGGTCTCAAGGTGCATCCATTTTCTTATAAATGACTCGTTTATCTTTCTTTATAGCAGAGTAGTACTCCATCATTTGTAAGTACCACATTTTCTTCATTCATTCATCTCTTGATGGACTTATAGGCTTCTTCCAACATTTAGCTATTATGAATTATGCTGCTATAAACATGGGTATAATATGAAGTCTTTAACTTTTTTTGAAAGATACCTAGAAGGGGAATATGTGGGTCAAATGGGATTTCTACTTTTAGTTTTCTGAGGAATCTCTATACTGATTTCCAAAGTGGTTACACTAGTTTATATTCCCATCAACAATGTCCTTTTTGCCCATAGCCTTGCCACCATTTGTTATTATTTGATTTCCCAATGATGGCCATTCTTTCAGGAGTGAGATGGAATCTCAGTGTTTGGATTTGCATTTCTCTAGTGGTCAGCAATGTCAAACATTTCTTGATGTATTTTTTTGGCCATTTATACTTCTTCCTCATAAAAATGTCTGTTCATTTCATTTGCCTATTTTTTTTCACTTGCCTATTTTTTATTGGGTCCTTATTTTGGCAGATCTAATTTGTTGAGGTTTTAAAAATACATATGCTAGATATCAATCTTTGCAAAATAGCTGGAGATTTTCCCCTATTTTGTAGGTTGTCTCTGCTCTGTTGTTTTTTTCTTTTGGTATACACAAGTCTTTTAATTTGATAAGATCCCATTTGTTGATTCTTGGTTCTACTTCATGTGCAACTGGGATTCCGTGTAGGAAGTCCTTGCCTCCATCTATGTCTCCAAGAATTTTACCTATTTTATCTTCCAGATTAATGTTTCTGTTTTAACATTTAGATCTTGAGCCATTTTGATTCTAGTTTAGTACATGGTGAGAGATATGGGTCTGGATCCAACATTTGCACATGACTAGCTAGTTTTCTCAGCACCATTTATTAAAGAGGCTGTCTTTCCTGCAATGGATGTTTTTGGTCCCTTTGACAAGTTCAAATAGTCGAATGTGCTCGGGGCTGTTTCTGCATCCTCTATTCTGTTTCATTGATCCACCTGTGTCCAACAGGTCTTTAACTTGTGGGTTCCGGTGATCCTCCCACCTCTGCCTCTTGAGCAGCTGGAACTACAGGTCTGTCCTTGAGTTAGGGTATGGAGGGTGCTGGGCAGGTGGAAGGATCCCCCTGGCCTGTTGCTGCCTCTCACTAAGGAAATCCTCCGTCTTCCTTATCACCATCAGCATGGAAGAGCATGGTGTGCCCAGGGCCTGGGGACAGGCAGAGAAGAGCTTTCTGGAGAGCATGGGCCTGGAACACTTCGTTCCCCTGCACCCTCTAACTCAGCCCCAAGGAAGTGAATGGAGAGGGTTTCCTGGTGATAGCCAGGCTGGGCCTGGTCCATCTGGCTTTGAGAGCCTCAGAGAGGGAGAGAGTCAGCCTTGTCTTAACCTGTGACCTTCGCCCCGATACGTCCCCCTTGCCCACAGAGAGCTCTGGGCCCCGCCTTTGCCCCACTCCCTGACTGGCAAAGAATCACAGCGGCCCCACTCCGTGTCTGGGAGGTAGGGAGTCTTGCGTGCTGCCACCTCCTCCCCAGGGCACCTTCATCCCGGGGCTGCCGGGCAGCCAGCCTCCTCTGCCCATCTCCAGGTTCTCATATTTGGCCCTCTGTTGGGTTACTCCTTCCCCACATTAAATCCCTCCTTTTTCCCCTACGTTGACTGAAAGAAGTTCATTACAGAGGACCTCCTTACGGCGCTACGTATGTGAGATTTAAGAACAGGAAAACTCAATCACGGTAATAGAAATCAGAACAGCAGCTGCCTTCGCATGGAGTGGGGACAGGGAAGAGGGCCAGAGGGAACTTTCTGAGGCGACAGGAATGTGCCATAGCTGGGGGGAGGCGTCAGTCACACACGTGTGCACATTTGTGAAGACTCACTAAATCATGAAGACATATGCATTTAACTGTGTGTGAATCATACCTCAATAAAATCAGTTTAAAAGGAAGAATCCCCTGTTCAAATACCAAGCATGTGAGTCAGGGGAGAAGGACCCCACGCCCCCCAAGAGACACTTTTCTTTTTCTTCCACAGCTGCCCCGATATCATGCAGCCAGCTGGGGTGCACCTCACAACTGCTCCAGAGGTATTTTCTTCAGCTGCACCAGACTTCAGACAAACCTATCCCAGAGGACTCTTCCCAGCAGCCCCTCTGGATGATTCTGCCTCCAGCAGCCTCCCCAGTTAAGTCCAAGAGGGGCCCTATCCCTGCCCATGACCAAGCAGAAAGTCTGCTGCTGCACATGCACAGCGCCCCTCTTTTCCTCCGTAAGCAACCTCCTTAGGCTCCTTAGCAGGTCAGCCCAAGAGCTGCTCCCCTTTATGCTGAGGCGTGAGTCCTAACAAGTCTTTCTGGGTGGTATATTCATGCCCATGAAGGATTTTTCTCTCTCTAGTAGAGCATGCTGAGCTGGGACACCGAGAACTGGTAACATCGAAGGCCACTGGCACTGAAAGTGGCCTGGAGCCATGGCTGCTAACACTGAAGCCAGCAAGTAGCAGAGAATGGTGGAGAAGCATACTGAATGCCTGAGGCCTGCTGGTGGCTGTGGGCTCCAAGTGACAAGGAGGGCTGCTAACCCCGAGAAGAGCTGACAGCCAACAGTTTAGGGCTGTTAACACTAAAAGAACTACACGTTGCCAATTCGTAATCTCCAAAACATTGAGCAGTAATGGCCAGCTGATGAGGAGCACCTTGGGAGCCCTGCAAGCACGCTCCTCTTTAAGGGCCCTTGAGAAGAGGATGGACAGTGATGATGGTCATCAACAGACTCAAGACCCAGCCCATGTCTGATTTCCCTCTTCCATGTGGCCAAGAACCTATGGGCCTGGGGATTTAGCTCAGTGGTTCCACCGCCTGTTGCACAAGTGCAAGGACCCGAGTCCCATCCCTGGTACCAAAACAAACAAACAAAAAAGAACCTATGCAAGCCAGGGAAATGTGGTTTCTAATTTTCTGGTTGGATCCTGGTTCAAACACAGTTTCTATTTTTAAACAAACATGGGTTGACCATGGAGGAGGAGGTAAATATTTGGGTGTTTTTTTTAAACAATAAAACATGACATCCCAAACAGACTCTCACACCTGGCTTGGTTTATTCCAGGCTGTCCCCAGTCCCCAGGAGGGATCCTTCCTTCTCCTTGCTTTTCTCCGTGCTGAGGCACACTGGCCCAGGTAAAGTGCTCATCATGGGTGCTCACAAAAATTTGTTCTTGCAAATACAAAGGAGCTTTCATTTATTTTTCTGACTTTTTTCAGGACAATGTGATGTCACCTCGTGATGGTCATAGAGAATTCAGCCACTCAATTCTCTCTGGAGGGAAGGGCATTCTTGGAAAGCACAAGCCCACCCACAGGTTTACACATAGCCTTGTATTGAGTTTACAGAACTCCAGGAAAGGAAAAGAAGACTCAGAATAGCCACATGGCCCCTCTTCACCGCACTCCAGCCAAATGGCCAGTCTCGCCCAGCACTGCACCTGCTGCAGCCTAATTATTCAAGGAATGGTCATCCCATCTCCTGCCCAGAGAAGCTGGAGAGAAAGCTCACTGTGTGATTGATGAGGCTGTGCACAGGCCAGGAATGAGTCAGGAGCACTTGGAAGCCTTGGCCAATCTCCCAGGGTCTGAGTTAGAAGAAGGGGCCTGGTCATGCACCCTACTGTAGCACAGGGTCCAGCAGGACCAGGCAGCTTTTACATGTTCTTACCCTCCTGGCTGTGGATGGTGGACCCAAGTTGGACTGCTGCTTGCAGCCAAGCATGGGCAGTGGCCATCTGTGTCATCTCGGGACACAGGGCCACCTGCTAGGGAAGTGGGCACCATGTCTCCCTTCCCAGCTGGCTCTAGAAGGCACCGTTCCATGGACTTCGACCCCTGGCAGGTGGGCAGGGCCTGGGCAGGCACAGGCGGTGCTGGGTCTCCAGTCGGCAGAGGTGGTTCTGGTTGGACACCCGGGTGGCCATGCCCAGCCCGCAGGTGGTCGAGCAGGGACCCCAGGCTGTGCTCCACTGTGGGCAGGAAACACCAGGGGGCAGGGGAGCAACGAGGCCAGCAAACTGGTCTCCTAGGGAGAAGAGTGTAGAGTCAGACTGTGGGGGCCAGGCGTGGGAGCCAAACCAACCACTGGCTGGTGGTCACCGTCACCGCGATGCTGCTCAAGCTGCCCAACCTCTCTCGAGCTCGGTTTCTTCTCTGTAAATTTCCTAACAATTGGTTGTTGGGACTGAATAATAGAATGGTTGTGAAGTACTCAGCACAGTGCCTGGTACCTGCAGCCACTCTAGAGATATGTTAGTAGGCAGCTAGGATGGTTCCCCAATAAATGGTGAGGATTCTTGTTTCTGGATCCACCAAACTTCTCTAATAAATGCTGTGTTACAGACAGGAGGTGCCACCTATGTGAGGCGGGGCTGTGACCTGGCGACAAGGAAGCCAGAGATTCCAAAATTTTGTGCCTGGAACAAGATAGTGGGTCACCACAGTCTAGCTTTTTCTCCTCACTGGTCTCCTCTGTTATATGCTGGCATCCTTCCAGTCCTGAGAACCAGTAATTCACAACTGGAAGTGATTTTGCTATCCCCCTGGGGCACTTGGCAATGTCTGGAGACACTGTTGGTTGTCACAGGTGGTGATAGTGGATGCTACTGGCATCTAGTGTGTAGAGCCAGGGATGTGACTAAACATCTGGAGGGCTCAGCTGTGTAGAATGTGCTGTGGGACCAGGCACAGGGCAAGCCCCACCATACACACAATTACTCAGCCCAGATGTCACCAGTGCTGAGGCTGAGAAGCTTATGCACACATGTCTGCATGTACCATGTCCTACTGTCTTTTGGTTTCTTGGGGCATTTGTTCCAGGACTCCTCATGGATACCTGAGGCTACTCAACTCCCTTGTATAAAATGGTTTACTATTTGTATATAACCTAACCTGCACACATCCTCCCATAGACTTTAAATCACCTCCAGGTTACTTGTAATACCTAATGCAAAGCAAATGCTATGTAAATAGTCATTATACTGTATTGCCTAGGGAATAATGACAAGAAAAAGACCTGTGTATGTTCAGCACAGGTCCAGTTTTTATAATAACATTTTCAATCCACAGTTGATTGAATTTGTGGATGTAGGACCAGTGGATACAGGCATACACATTTAATGGGGGACCAAATTTGAGATATGGTTTCCTCCCTCTCTCTCTCCCTCTCCCTCTCCCTCTCCCTCTCCCTCTCTCTCTCCCTGTGCAGGGGATTGAATCCAGGGCCTCATGCATGTTAAGCAAGCTTCTACCACTGAGCTACAGTCTCAGCCCTTTTAATTTTATTTTTATATTTTTGTGGTACTGGAGATTGAACCCAAGGCCTTTGAACCGAGCTACATCCTTAGCTCTTCTAAAACTGTTCTTGTTTTTGCAAAACATTTTGAGACAATCTTGCTAACTCACTAGGTTGCCCAGGCTGGACTCGAACTTGTGGTCCTCCTGCCTCAGGCTCCCAGAGTGCTGGGATCACAGGCGTGCACCACTGCACCTGGCCAGCCCTTTTATTTTTTACTTTGAGACAGGGTCTTGCTATGCTGCCCAGCTGGCATGTAACTTATGAGTAGCTAGGGGATTCCTCTTTTGATAAATCCAAATAACGCTGTATTGGTAATATTATATATACTATGAATACACTAGTACATGTATTATAAATACGCTGTAACAGTATCTCTATATGATGTGATAGTATACCTCTACCGGGAAATATAACAATTTGGTTCAAGCACCCGAATCCCTCCCTTCCCTCCTCATGCTGCCACCGACTGTTATTTTTAATCCTCTGATTTACAGTTGTACGCTGAAAAGGCTGCTTCTTGTTTTGCGGGTTTTAAAGCGGCCTGGTGACTTCCAGTCCTCTTTCCACATCTCCCTCTCCCAGCTTCTTAGGCTCTCCTTCTCCTTCCTGTGCCTAAGAAGCCAGGTGACCTCGGACGCCCCAGGGCCTTGGCGGCTCTGCCCTTGCCGCCGGCCACCCGCACTCACCTTGGGCCCCCAGCTCCGCACCCTGGTCGCACACCCACTCGGGGCAGCACTTGCCGGGCAGCTCCACCCTGCGCGGCCAGGGGCAGTCGGCGCTGGGCAGCCGGACGTCCTCGCTGCACAGGGGCAGGCAGGTGAGGCCGCCGTCCTCGCAGCGGCAGCGGACCCGGCAGTGCGGCTGGAAGCTCTCCCCGTCGCGGTACCGGCGGCCGTTCACCTCGCAGCCTCCGTCGTCCTCACCCACTGCGGAGGGAGCAGAGAGCGGCTCAGGCCTGCAGCTGGCTGGGCCGGGCAGTGTCTGATCGCTGCACCCCGAGAGCCTGCCCGCCTGCAGCAAGACAGAGGGTCACCCGGTCCCGGCACAGCGGTAGCTGAAGACAGCAGTAATAATATTTGACTATTATTTACACACTAGTATTTTGTGCAACAATCTCATTGTCCTGCTGTGTTTTAGTCATCGCTCTCAGGTCCGGGCCTAGCTTGCTGGCTGTGTGTTTTAGGTAAGTTACTTAACTTCTCTGAGTGGCCTGAGCCGCAACAGCGATGAAACAGTAATTAGCACCTTCAGGTACAGGAGGTGATGTGAACATAGACAGCACCCAGCACTGAGCAGGGCAGATAGTGGATGCCAGGAAACACTCTCTGAATGAAGTCCTCAAGGTCTGTCATAGCCACCTCTTCTACTGGACACGCGCTCCTTGAGGGCTGGAGCTGGGTGCTCCTCCTGCCGTCCCCTGAGCTAGAATATGTGTATGATAACCACTGTGCTCCTAGATGGAAGTAAGATGCAGTTTCATCTCAAGAAACCCGAAGGACTCATGGGCCAGAGGGAAACACATTAAAGCTGCCGCCGTGTCCAAGTCAGAATGAGAGGAGAGCCCTGGAGAGAGTGAGGTGCCCAGGACAAAGGCACAGATGCATGGGCCTGGGGAGTGCCCGAGGCTTCCTGGAGACCCTGTGACAACTGAGCAGGTCTGGGGAAAGGATTCGTTGGCAAAGTCCTCCTGGGTCTTACGTGGAAAACCTCCAGTAGGTCCATGCACACAGAGGGGTTCTGGAACAGCCCTAGCCCCCAAATGCTGGCTGCTGTGGGAGTCAGGCCTGAGTGACTCCACCTCTGAGCCTTGGAGCCTGCTCCTCAGGCCACCAGAGGATGAAGGGGAAAATGCATTGAAGGCATTTCGCCCAAAGCCTGGTATACAGCAGATGCTCAGTAAAAGGCAGCGGGCCCTGTTCATCCTTCCCAGGAAGACAGGACCAGTGTCCGATGCCTCCGCTCACCCCATCAGGCCTCAACCCTTTGGCTCTAATCCCGGACCCTTTGGCCTGGACCACAAGGTTGTCTAGTTCCCTAGAAAACGCAGGGGCAGCTGCTCCTTAATCCGCATGTTGGCCTAAGTCCTGCTGCCACAGCCCTGAGGCCCCCAGGTCGCTGGGATATCCTAGTAAACAGAGGCTTGTTTAAGAAAATCAGCTGGAGGGTGGTAATTTAGAGAGGTTTCTTGACATCTCCCTTGGGTCATCAGCTCGGACCTGGTTGGGGCTGGGGGGAGGGGGGCAATGATCCCTGGGCACCCCCCCCCATGATCTATGTGCACCTGTGTGTGCTGCCGAGGACCACAAGGGCCCTCCAAACCGAACCCTCTTGGGGTTCCCCTGCCCAGCCACACCCGCCTACGGCTGCCAAAGCCCCCCCCACACACACACTAATGCCTTCCACTGAGCTCCCATGGCCTCTCCCGGGCTCAGACCACAGTCTTACCCTCTGGGGGTTCCTGTGTCCCTCCTCCCCCCTGGGAGTCCGTTTCAGGCTCTGGGTTTTTGTTGGGGTTTGTAACCTTCAGTCACTTGCAAACTCTGTGACCTAGGCAGGAGACCTAACCTCCCTGAGCCCCTGTTGCCTCATCAGCAGAACAGGGATAATAATAGGCCTACCTCGAGGTTAAGGGTAATATGAAACTGTGCCCATGAAGGCTCCGATTCACGCATGGAAGCCACCAGCCTCCAGACTCTATTTGGTTTGAAATCACCGAATCTGTACAAACACCCACAGCTGCCAGAGCAGGGCTGGAACACGGAGAGAGGACCAGAGACCAAGTAAACCCTGGCCTGCAGGTGCCTGAAGTCTGAATCAAGAGGGAGTGATAACAGCCCCTTGATGAAATTATGACAGTAATATCCGCTATCTACTAATTATGTGGTGAGTATCAGGCTATAGAGTGCTGGAGCCTGAGGCGTGGAGCCAGATCCCTAAGTTCAAATCCCAGCTGGCTATTACAGCCTTGGGCAAGTTGATTAACTTCTCTGTGTTTCTCTTTTTTTGGTTTTTTTGGTACTGGGGATCGAACTCGGGACCTTGTGCGTGTGAGGCAGGCGGTCGCACGACGGAGCTAAAGCGCCCGCCTGTTCTCTGTGTTTCTTTATCCCATTTATAAAATGGCGGTGGCATATGTATCTACTTCATATAGTTGTGAGATTAAATGAGTTGATATTTGGGAAGCCTTCCATACCTGGCACTTGGTAAGAGGTTCAATAAATAAACTCTGCCACATGAATCGCTGTGCCATGGTGAGTCCAGATAATAGCTGTGGAAGTGTTACTTGTCTACAGTTCTCTTTAGACACATTTTTCATTAGCAATCGTCTGAGTTTATCTTACAAATCCTGCCTGTCTCTTACTGAATGAAGCATTGACAAGGATTTGCTATTGATAACTTTCCATCTATAAGTTTTGTTGGGTGTTTTTTTATTTTGGTTTTTTTTTTTCTTTTTTTGGTACCAGAAATTGAACTCAGGGCTTTGTGCTTGCTAGGCAGGTGGCCCAGGTTTTACTGTTTTGTTTTTTTTTAAACAAGACTTTTCCTATGCATGCACTCATTGTAATGATTCATGAGCCTTTGCCCGCCTTCTCTCATTCTTATTTTTATAAAAGTATGACATGCACTTCGATGAAAGAGGCAAATTATTCTACAAAGCTTATTATTTGAAAAAAACCTCTCATCTCTTTCTATTTCTCCTAAGCAGTGGTTTTCTACTGGGGTAGTGATGCCCCTGGGGCACTTGGCAGTGTCTGAAGACAGACTGTCGGGCCTCAGGAAGGGTGGGAGGGTTGCTACTGGCAGGTGGGGGGTGGAGTTTGGGGATGCTGCTGAATGTCCCTCAGTGACAGGACAGTTCTGCAAACAAGAACTCTCTGGCCAAGGGTGTCACCAGAGCACAGTTGCCAAGCCCTGCTCTAAAGCATCAGAGGATGCCAAGGCCTAGGAAGCATGGTGTGGAATGTCACATGCCCCAGGTCACTGGGAAATAGCACACTCAGGACTCACACTGTGGCTCAAGGTGCCTAGTCCCGGAGACAGAGTGGAATTTGCTTGAATTTATTTGAAATGGCTCCAAGCTGTGTGACATGAAGCCTGTTAGCTAATACCACTGAGCCTCAGTTTCCTCTTTGGTAAAATCGGTCTAACAGTACTTAGACTCACACGATTATTAGGAGGCTGATGTGACTTGTGCAGGAAGCCCTTCCCCAGTGTCTGACACACACTATGCCCTACATAAGGGGCTGCCTTCATATTTTCCTCGGTATGACAAGGGTCTCTGAAGAGGATGATGTCTTCTGGGTTGAGGAGTCTGGGAGAGTTTCTCAGGGGAGAAGATATTTGGGCTTGGCTTTGAACGTGGACCGTGACTAGGACAGGTAGCGAAAAGAGGGCTGTTCAGATGGGGCCGCATGGTCAAAGCAAAGGCCAAGAGGAGAGAGGCAGGCAGCGGGGCCCCCAGACTTAGCTGCATGGAGGCAGGTGAAAGGAGAAAGTCGAAAGCTGCTCTTTGGCTCCAGACCATGGCTGTGACCTCCCGCACCCTCCAGGAGTCCCGCAAACCTGCTTACAAAGGCACACGGCCCTCCGGCCACCAGGGCCAGCTCTGAGCTGGCAGACCAGGCCCTGGCTGGGGTCGCAGACGTGGAGGTGGTCGCAGGGCTCTCCCAGCCGCCGTGCACAGACCCAGCAGCAGCCACAACCATCCAGCACCAGAGGTGCTCCCAGCGGGCATCGGGACTGTGGCCAGGGGCAGGCACACGGTGTCGGGCATAGCTGGGCACACACCTGCAGAGACAGAGGCCTCACTCAGCCATGAGCTTTCAAGGCAGGCAGTGGGACCCTCCCAACTGTCCCAGGCTGGGCAGTGTGGGCTCTGTATCTTGGCCTCAGAGTCACACAGATCTGGGCTTGAACCCTGGCAGTCCTGTGGCACTCTCTAAGAGGCAGTGTGGGGTTGTGGCTATGAGCGAGGACTCTGGACCAAGTTTTAGTTCTGGCTGTGCCCCTTAATTGCTGAGTGGCCTAGGACAAGTTACCTAAGCTGGCTGACCCTGGGTTTCCTCATCTGTGACAGGAAGCCAATCAGAGGGTCTCAGAGAACTCGCGTAATCATGAACATCAGACCCTTAGTATGTGGCCTGGCAGCAGGAGTTTCTGGGGCATTGAGCTCTGACAACCATCTTTGTTAAGGGTCCTGCCCTGCAGGGGGTCTAGGAAGGCAAGAGCAGCCACCCAAGGCCTAGAAGGGCAGTGTGCACAGTGTGTTTGCCAGCATACAGGTCCTTATCCCGAGGGCTGAGTACATCAAGCCATATCATGGTTGCTTTTGGTTTTGGGAAGAATCCAAGCATGTTTCTCAACCCTGAATGTACAGCAAACCAGCCAGAAAAATTGGGAAGAAACAGAATCCCAAGCCCCTCTGGGACTCACCAAAGCAACTCCCAGAGGCTTGTTTTTGTTGTTTTGTTTGGTCTTTGTGGTGCTGGGGATGGAACCCAGGGCCTCATGCATGCTAGGCAAGTGCTCTACCACTGACCTACATCCCCAGTCCTTTTTTATCTTTTTATTTTGAGGCATTTGCCCAGGTTGGTCTTGCATTTGCAATTCTCCTGCCTCAGCCTTCTGAGTAGCTCCAATTACAGGCGTGTACCATTGTGTCTGACTGGACTCTGCATTTTTGCTTTCTGGGGGTTTCTAAAATGCAGCTAGGTTTTCAGTAGCTCTGCTATCATGTCAGCCCTCCCTGCTGCCATGTACAGATGGGGAAACTCCAGAGAGGGGAAGGCACTTGCTGACAGCTGGAGGGTTATCTGCAGATCTGGGAGCAGGGCCACATCCCACTCCCCTGATGAGGACCCAGGGACCTCGTGTGCAGCTAGACTTTTCCTTCAAGGCTTCAGTCTGAGAAATCCTGCTGCCCTTCCCCACCCAGGCCAAAACACAAGAAACACCAAAACCATGAACCAGATGTCAAGAGCTCCCTGTAAATCCGTTTGAAGGTGGGGACCAGGAGGTGGGGATAACTCAAAGGTGTTCCCCACAGGCCCGTCTGTGAGAGGCCAATCTTAAGCAGGATCATTGAGGGACTAGAGGGCTTTATCTAGAGGCGGGAAGGCTCTGGGCTTGGGAAGAGGAACTAGTGACCTCATAGCTCCTGTGTGGCCCAAGCAGGTAATGACCTATGTATGCTACTCCCCACCTTGGCCTTCCCCAGCTCCCCTCCCTGCCAGTCTTTCAATTTTCTGCAGCTCCCACTATTGCCACCAGGGATCGCCCTGCCCTGGCTGACCAAGCTCTCCAGGGGGCGACAGAGAGGGCCACTGGAACCCCAACCAAGGACAGCACTCTGAGGAATTTCAGCCAAGCTTGCCTCTCAGGGTGTAGGCTGGACTGCAGCACAGAGTCCCCTGGAAGGTTGTTAGGAATGCAGCATCTGGGGCCCTTCTTTATAACCTGAGTGTGTTTTAATAAACCCAGAGGTGCTGCACACATAACTGACCCAGGAAGCGATAGGCTGGACTTTTTCTCTTCCAAAGCACAGGCTCCAGCTCCCTTGGTCATGGGCAGTGGGGGCTCTGACCAGAACTGTCTCAGGTCCCTTCCCCCTGTAAACTGGGGCACCAGGAAACAGGCCTGCTGAGCATCTGCCCCCCTCTGTGAGCTTCCTCTACCTGGCTGCCTTCTGGTTTCTGCAGGTCCCGATACCCAGGAGAACCTATTAATGACACAGTGACTGTCGCAAACTGTGGCCACCTGGTATGGTGCGTGCATGCTGTGCCTGGACACTTTAAAATGCATGTGTGATAGAACCCCTGTGTGAGGCCCAGTGGCATGTCCATTTCAAAGATGAGGAGACGGAAGGTCAGAGCCACATAGTGAATAGCTAGGAAGAAGTGGGATGAGGATCAGAATCCAGGTTCATGAGAATCCAAGGCTTGGGTTCTTAATTCACATGCCCACCTCTGGTCATCTAGGGGCTCCAATGTCAGCTTAGCTTCTGCCTCAATTTACCTGTCTGTTTACATGGACAGTGACAGGCCAGGGAGGGTGGCCTGGTGTGGACGAGGAAGGTTATACCCTCTCTGGCCTCCCTTTACCTCCGCGGCCACCCCAACCACTCCTTAACTACATTCAAGTTATCCCATCACACCTCAGACGCCCCAGAGCCTTGCTATGGCCACTAGGGCCAAGGCTCTGTGGGGGGAGCACTAGGTGTGCAGCTTTCTGGGCCCAGGACCCCACAGCCTGCCTGGAAAACTCAGAATTCTCTCTGAAGAGGGTTGTGGCTTCGCATGTTTGCCATGACCAAGGCCCTGGGTTTCTGTGTCGGATTCTCATCGGCTTCCCAGGACGAGGGTCTCCCCAACCGGTGAGTCTAGGAAGACAATATACTTGGCGTTTTGTAATCCTGAACCCCAGGTCCCCTGCTCCAGCTGCTCAAGTCACCCACTTGGGCTCATGTCCTTCCCACCCCCAGGGGAGACCAATGACCAAGACTGGAATGCAGCAGCAAGAGTCCTCAGCCTTCCTCAGCAATACTTCGAGAGATCCAGGGGGAGAAATGCCTGCCTGTGCTCCTCAAGGGAGCATGACAAGGTGGCAAGGTCTTGGCTTGTGGGGGGGCCAATCCCTTGGCTCTGGAAACTCAGCATTTGCTAAGAGGACAGCATAGCTGGGCAGCTGTGGCCTTGGCCCGAGGGGGGTGGGGAGACACATACCGGAGTCCGCCAGACCCCTCCATATCTCTTCTGGGCTCCACCATGTCCCTCCTGTATTGCCCTGATGTTCCTTTGCTGTGTGGATTTGGGCAAGTTTCTTGCCCTCTCTGAGCTTCATTGGACTGAAACTGGGCTTAATGATTCCTCTTGGGCTTGTTGTGCATGTTAGGCAAGGTGGATGTTTTACAAGCCCATTGAAAAATGTCCCTTGCAGCTCTGGGAGAGAAGGTCATTGCTCCACAGAGTGGGTCCGGACCCCTACCCAGCCAGGGTCACTGCCTGAGGGAGCATGGTGTCCTCCCAGCCCGAGGTTTCCAATCACTTAGGCACCACCCCCGCTCCGGTCCTGGCTCGGAGGCAGAGCAAGTATATCGTGCCTTCGTCTCCTCGTCTGTGAGGACACCTGCCCCTGCCTTGTTATTGGGGTGGTGGGGACTGGTAAGGGTCATTCAAGGAGCACTCGTCATGTTCCGGGCAGTGCTGAACCCAGAGGGAGCATTGGGAATGACTGCCACAGAGGCCTCGGGAACATTCAGCTGAGGCAGAAGCTGGGCTCAGAGAAGAAAGGGGGCCCACCTGAGGTCGCACAGCAGAGCTGACAGCTGTCTGGGGCCAGGGAGGGAAGCCGGGCCTAGGCACGGGGCCTGGACTTCATCCAGCACGGGGCCAGCAGGAGCTCTGCGCCGGCTCCTCGGCCATGCCTCCCGCCCACCCACCCCACCGCACTGAAGAAGACAGCGGTGAGTTCAGGGCCTGCAGCCCCTTACCTTGCAGAGGATGCAGAGGAGGGCGCAGGCCAGGAGCTGGGTCTGTGGTGGGCCTCTCATGTCACCGTGTCCTCGCAGAGTCAGCCTCGAGCCGGGAAGCAGGACCTACGCGTCTTTAGGGTTCAGCAGCTGTGAGGTCACTCCCGGGCATGTACTCCCCCCCCGACACACACACACACACACACACACACTGGGCTCTCCATCCCTTGCTCCTCTCCCCATCCTCGTGACCCAGTGGTGAGCCCATTTACCTGAAGGTGAGACGGTGGAAGCCACCATGGGGGTGCCTGCCCGTGAGTGTGCGTGTGCGTCTATGAAGCCAGAGCCAACGCCAGCACCAAGAGCCTGCGGCAGGCTGGCAGGGCCCTCTCTCGCTCCTCCCAGCCCTAGAGAGCTTCAGCCCTCACTGCTACCAGAGCTGCTGCGGCCCTGGCTAGCTGGACCCCTGCCCCACCCCAGGGACTGTGGGCACCGGAAGCATCCGCCAAACACCCTGTCGCTGATCTGACTCCGGGCAGCCTCGGCCTGGCCTGTGGTTTCTGGCAGGAAGATTGGCAGCTACCCAGAGGTGGGTGTGACCCAGAGCAGAACTTTCCTGGGCAGCTGGTCTGCTCTTGGCAACGAGGGGCCTCCGCAGCCTGCTTCCCCACTGGAAGGTGGCCCGCAGTGGGTGAACCCAAGCAGGCTGGACCTACTGTGTGCTGTGCTTGTGGGGCACTGCCAGATGATCTGGTCAAACCAAATCCACTTTCTTTAGTTCAGCCAATTCTGAGATCTCCTCTGGACGGACTGGGGACACAGCAGTAACCCTGGGACAAAGCCAAGAGGAAGAGACATTAGTGGCAAAACTGGAGGGATTCCTGGGAATGCCAAGGAGGGTCCCTTGTTCAGACCAATAGTGAGGGCCAGCTTTCTCAAGGAGGTGCCATTTCAGAGAACCAACAAGAGAGCAGACTAAGGAGCATGGAAGGTTCCAGGCAGAGGGAATGGCATGTGGAAATGCTCAGGCACGGCATGACAGCCTCACATAACCTGAGAGTCAAGGCGCCTGTTAGGAATGGAGCTTCCCGGGCAATGGGGGTGCACGTGGAGCATGCATTGGCACCTCCAAGGCTGTGGCCACATCTGCACCATCCCAGCATTGGGGACCGGATGTGGAGACATGGGCGGAGACAATAATCAAGGTGATGTCAACTGGTGGGGCTGGGAAGCCTGTGGTCCCCATGTCTCCACAGTGCCCCGAACTTCAGAGTGATAGTGCTGGACAACAGGAGGTTCTAGAATGGAAGGGCAGTTGGTGAGAAAGAACTTAATGAGACCCTGGCTCAACATAGAAAATTAAAAAGGGATAAAGATGTAGCTCAGTGGTACAGCACCTCTGGGTTTCATCCCCAATATAACAACAACAAAAAACCCTACAAAATGGCATTTCTAATCTTCAAAGTCTATACCTTAATAAAAAGGAAAAAAGTGAAGTTCAGAGAGGTTAAGAAATTTGTTTAAGGTCGCACCGTTAGAAAACAGAGCCAGGCTTTCAGCGCAGGTCCATATGATGCCAAACCTGAGCTTGTTTTTGCTGCTTGTTGTAGAGCCCTCCATGATATATCTTTACCTGGAGAGGTAACACATGCAGAACAGTGTTACGGTGCACTGGTGCTGCATGCATGCCTCCACAGCTCTTCACATACGTGTGACATGATGACATGCGTGTGCCCACATCATCGCCCCCCAGAGCAAGCTGCATTTCAGAAGGGTCCAAACGTCCCTTCTAAAACCACACCTTCTGCCCCCGCCAGGCACCCACTGCTCTGGGCTCTGTTGCATTGGCCGATTTTCCCTGGGGCACAGCACTAGACTGTGTCTTTCTCTGAGGTGACATGGAGCGTCTAGGAGGTGGGAGGAGGACACTCAGGTCCACTGCAGCAGCAGGGCAATGAGGCCTCGGCTGACAGGGGTGGGGGGTGGGGGGTGGGCTCTGGGCTCTGTAGGAGGCAGCCAGAGGTGAGCCATGTCCTGCGCCTGCAATCCTCTGAGTCAGAGCATAGTTTCCCCTGGACATTTTCCTCTCTAGTGCTGAGGATGGACGCATGTGGGCAGGGTGTGGACAGTGGAGGGTGTGAGGCCTGGCCAGATGGAGGGACACGCAGGCCTCGTCCAGGGCAATGAAAATGCCAATGGTCTTCCTTCCTTGCACAGATAGAGCGGGGAGGCCATGGCAGGAAGCCACTCTGCTGCTTGGCTAGCAAGGCTCAGGTCTCCACGGTGCCAAGATGGGCACAAGAGGGATGTGAAAGTCCAAAGAACCCATGAGTCTTGGACTGTTACAGCCACCCTTTCCCCTGCGAAAATAAGGTCCCCAAATGAACATGGCTGCCCTTTGTTTAACCAAAAGGAAACGGGCTCATGAGTCAGAAGGTCCTTGGTTCAGCTGCTAATTCCCCCATGATTTATAGGCCTGGGGACTAGAGTGAGGCAAGAAGGTGCCCAAAGTACAAACTTTAAAGAGGCTGTCAATTTCAAGAGCCTACTGTGCACTTACTGTGGATGACCTCAAAAGTAGGCATCTCCTTAAAGGTGAAGTGCCCAGAGTATTGAATTACATCATGGTAGGAACTCAGTTGATATTTGTCAACTGATTAAATGATGATTGTCTATTGTTAAGCTATGCTGAGGTCACAAATAAACCCCTGAATCTCAGTGGCTTAACCAATGAAGGCTTACTTCTTGCTCGTGAAGAGTGCAGTGTAGGTTAGCAGGTCTTCTCCATCTCAGAGCAGCATCCTATGGCTCTTCCCTGCAGTCTGGGACCAACAGCATCAGCCTCACTTGCCTGCTGGTTTGAAATGCAGACCTGAGCCCCTGTTCCAGGCCAGTGACCTTCAAGGTAAAGAGAAGTATAAAGCAGTGACATCATCACTTTTACTCACATTTCATTGGCCAGAACTAGTCACATGGTTCCAGTTCAACTGCAAGGGATGCTGGGAAGTGCCATCTTTCTGTGTGTGTGTCCATGAAGGCGACCCAGAGTAAGGGACATGTGATAGTCTTTGCTAAAGGTACCTTAGGATCTGGGACACGTACTTTTGTTTTCTGGGCCTCAATTTCTCTATAAAAGAAGAAAAAAAGACAGCCTCTGTGCTCTTCCAGTGCCAGGCCTGACACTGTAGAGAGTGTAGGACTTGTGAAACACACCAGGCCAGGAGCCTGCATGGGAAGCCGGGAAGGAATGCCTGCAGCTGGGAGAGCATGGCTGCCTCTGGCCAGTTGCAGTTCCTCAGCTCGCTGCCTGTGTCCCTTCCTCCACATTGGTGGCCTCTGTGCCACAGTGAGTCTCCAGGGTAGCCAGGGAGGCGGAAGGGTAGCACTCAGTAGTTACTCTGGCAAGTGGGGATAGAGAAGCCAGAAACAGGCCCCAGCCCAGGCAGGGGTGGGAGCAAGGAGGAGCAGGACTCGGGAGCTGACCTTCCACAGTGAGAGAGGACAGGGTACTGTAGGGAAGGTGACCGGCAGGCAGATGAAAATCCCAACCTGCTGCTACTGCTCTGTGGCTGGGTATAAATTCCCTTGCCTCTCTGGGCCTCAGTTTCCTCTTGTAGAGAGGGTATCTGTGGCACTGATCAGTGCTCATTCCACTATCCCTCTTTACCTCCTCCCATGGTCACCCAGCCCTGATTTCTTTGGGGTAGTGAAGCCCTCAGCTGGCACGGCATGTGAGCAGGTTCCAGCCATGAGATATTAAGTGAAAGTGTTGTGTGTGGATTCTGGGAAGGTTCTTCAAAGAACAGCTTCCCTTTTGGCCCACCATTACCACTTTTTGCTTCTTCTGGTGCTAGTCAGTAATGCAGATGTGATGGTGGAGTTGCGCAGCCATTTTGGACCATGAAGGTACCTTGAAGACAGACTTCATGTGCAGAGGAGGGTAAAGGAGAATTAAAGGAGGCCAGATCCTTCATGACACCTGGAGATGTCACATGGGGCCTGGACTCTTCCTGCAGATTTCACTCCCATGATTAAAAACATGTGTGTATATGTGTATACTATTTTTATATTCATGTAATATATATATATTCTCTCCCACTTAAGGCTACATTAGTTTGTGTTTTTCTGGTCAGTTACTGCTGGTGTAAAATTGTGACTTTTGTTGTTGACTGTATATCTGGAAACATTGCTGAACTCTCATTTGTTTTAATATCCTGTCAGTTTATTTGGGTCTGATGTTTTGGGGTCTGGGGAAGCTTTGCTATTTCTGTTTCAGTAATATGATTGACCAACTTGAATTCTCCATTTGTTCTTGGGCCAATCTCTTAGCATTTTTATGCCTTTCTATGAACTTACCCATTTTCCCCCAGTTTTCAAACTTACAAGCATGGTTCACAATAGCTTTCTAAGTATTTTTAAAGTCTATGTCGAGGTTGTTCCCCCTCTTTTCTCTTTGTATTTTATTTTACTTCTTTGTATTTTATCCCTTTTGCAAAAATCTTATTTGGAGTCTATCTCTCATATTAAATTTGTCCTAGAAATGGCTTTTTGTTCTATTAGGTTTTTTTTTTGTTCTAACTCACCAATTTGTTTCCAAAAGCTTTGAGGGGTGAATACTGGGAACTGAACCCAGGTTCTTTGTATTAAGCTACATCTTAGCCTTTTTTATTTTGAGAGAAGATCTCACTAGGTTATTAAGTTGCCTGTGCTGTGTTCAAACTTGCCATCCTCTTGCCTTGGCCTCCCAGAGTGCTGGGATCACAGGTGCGGGCCACTCCATCTGGCTTCCAGGAACTTTTCTATTGCCCGCAGCTCAACTTGAACTGGGACCTTACAGGACAGACTTGTTCCATGTCTTCAGCAAGGTCACATCCACAGTGGAAGACTCACAGAAGGGGCAGCTCATGCCCAGGACCTGCCCAGGTCTGGGCTCCTGCTCCCAAAGTAGAGGGTCCATCTCTCCAAGACTGGCACCTCCCCAAAGTCCCGCCTCTGCCATGACAAGGGTGGGGGGAGGTCACTGCTTGCTCAGCTGACTGAAAATATCCCACCCCAGGTGCCCCACGATGGCCTCTCTTTGCCACACATTCCCCAGTTTGGGCAGGAATTCAGACTGCTGCTCCGGGCTGTGGGATCCCAGGTGCCACGTGACAGCTCCCCCTGGGACAGCTGTGGGCTTAGACAGTTTAACACTTGGCTTCAGTCTGAGCTGGCGAGGTTGACTATGCAGGGACACAAACGGTCCCTGCCAAGAGCAGATGGAATGTGGAGCTCACAACACGTGCACGTGACCGTCTCTGCGAAGGCTGCATGGACCGGAATGAGCCGCGGGATCCAGAAAATGAAGTGGTCCTCATTTGCAGGCAAGGGAGCGGGCATGGGGCCGGTGCCAACATGCAGTTGGTGAGACACAGGTAGGCCTGCCAGGGAGCTGGAGGCCATGACAGAATGGGGAAATGGCTTCAAACACTGGCATGAGGGCTTATTTACAGGCCTAGCATGCCAGGGAAAAGGCTGAGCCTGGCACCTTAGGTACTAGATTCATATTGGTTTCACGAATAAATAAATGAATTGGGAGATCCAGGGTCTGATTCTAGCTCTACTGCTATGTACCCTTGGGCAAATTCTTTAGCCTTGCTTGGCCTCAGTTTCTTCATCTGTAAATGGGAGAGGGGCTCCAGGGGTCTCTGTTTCTATGC